AGTTTGCCCACCCCTGGTCTAGGCCTATTGTATCAAACTGAAAATTTAGCTTCCAAAACATTTTTCTACTTATTTAACAGCTAATTTGTAAAATATGAAGACTCTCCAATATATAAATCAATACCATTTAAAACTTTGCTTATAATTCTAATTTTAGAAGACATTTCCTATACAATTTTTTCCTACATTCCTTTTCAGAGAAAAGATACATATGTCGCCAAAGCCAAAGTAATTTAGCAAATGCCCTTTTCTTTAATCACCAAAAGGGAGATTGAAAACAAATCCTATATAATAAAAGGCTAATATGCAAATTGACCAAACGGCAGCAAGACCAGTCGCTATGACGTGCACTGACCACCAGGGGGCAGACGATCAACCCAGGAGCTGCCCCCTGGTGGTCAGTGTGCTCCCACAGGGAGAGTGCCGCTCAGCCAGAAGCTCTGAGCTGGGCTCACAGCTGGTGAGGGCAGCGCTAAGGATGTCCAGCTGACAGCTTAGGCCCCGAGGGCTCCCAGACTGTGAGAGGGTGCAGACTGGGCTGAGGCCCTCCCTGCCCCCCCCCCCCGCCCGAGTGCATGAATTCTGTACACTGGACCTCTAGTTAAATGACATTAAAAACAAACTGTCATCTTTATGGTTAACAATGTTTACCTTCTTAGTCTTAGCAAAGAGAAGCAATTGTTCTCATAAAATTAATCTATTTCTTTACTTGGAAAAATCATAAAAAAATCATTAAGATACATCTTATCTTGGACCATAGGTTTCGACCCATACAATGCCAACAATAAATCATGGAGTATGAGGTTTGCAAAATTCAAACACCCTTATTAAAGTGATCTTTATTTACTAACACCCATGTAGATAACAACCATCATTCTGGCTTAAATAATGGATTAGTCTTGAAAATATAAACAGGATTCATGTGGTCAATTTATTGAAGTTACTGTATTTCAATGATGCCATGTTCTCATCAAAGCAAAAAGTTATGAAGATTTTTCTGTAATACATTTTCACTGCAGGCAACAATTAAAGGTATATTTTGCAGTCATTAGTCACCCTGCTGACCTCTCTTGGCAGAATATAAGGTTTGAGTTGTCCAGGTACAACAATTACGTGGCACGGCTTATTAGATGGATTTGTTTGTGCCTTATAACCAAGAAGGAAATCTAAAGTCCTCTCTTGTGGTTTAAAAATATCTCTACTTCCTAGTCTATGCTGATTATTCCAATCCTTCTTCTGATTTCCTGATCAATGGTTTCAAGATTCACATCATAAATACTTAAGAAATACTAAGTATAGCGTAGAGATGTGCAGTGCCGTTGGTGCCCTGACTCTATCACTTCATTACTTAACATTTCCAGACAGGACAGCCTCACTCCCCGCTCCCAGCAGCTTGAAAACTTTCTCTGGCAGCCAGAACCTACTCTGCATGCACATGGGCCAGACCTAGTTACTGGGAATTAACAATTTCCCTCTCTCAGACTAACTCTCAACCAAGGTGCTGGGGGCTAGGGCTGGATATCCTAGCCCTGGGCTGGATATTCTAGCCCCCCAGCACCTTGGTTCAGGTAATTCTGAGGTATGCTGTATATGACCTCCCAGAGTGCCTAGATAGAATTAAGGTCTAAGTGCCCAGTGGTTATCTGCTTGATATATATACTCTTTACAAGTTTCCCTGTATTATTTGCCTCACTTCCCCACTCCCCTATCACACCCGTAATAAACTACTCACACTTAAATTCTTATCTCTAGGTCTGCAAAGGGAACCCAGACTAAGAGGAGGAGATGTAACGATGAATACAATAGGGATTTTATCTTCCAAGAATTCACAATCTAGAACAGGAGACCAATAATAAACTAAAAAGACAAAATCAATACAAAAAGAAAAATATACAATATTAGTTTCCTTACTCTAAGATGTCATCCTACCTTGTAGCCATCACTGATATTGTACTACTACTTCCTGGATAATAGAACTGTAGCCAAACGGCAACAAAGAAGGTAGGAGTATAAACTTGACTAATCCATGACAGCTATGGAACAAAAGGAAGAGAACACCGGAGTAACAAAATAATGATTTCACTTGACAAGTTAATTCAAACTATAGCTCCTATAAAATGAATTTTATCCTTACATTAACCTTTTGACAGTCCATCAGTCCCCACAGCAACTATATAGACAGCAAAACCAAATCAATATTCTGGCTATCATTTGCAATTGGTTTCTGATACGCAGGGAGGTGATCATTTGCAATGCAACATTAATTTTTAAAAATTGGGTATTATTTCAGAGCATTTTTTAGAAGGCAACATGTGTGGAGTGACTGAGTGGATACCTAAGTGGTTCTCAACCTTCCTAATGCCGCGACCCTTTAAGACAGTTCATGTTGTGGTGATCCCCAACCATAAAATTATTTTCATTGCTAATTCATAACTGTAATTTTGCTACTGTTATGAATCGTCATGTAAATATCTGATATGCAGGATGTATTTTCAGGGGTTGCGACCCACAGGTTGATGATGAGGGAAAGCCTTTTGAGCATGAGCACTGAGGGAACAACTGGTGCAGGTGATAGAGTTGTTAGGTATAGGAGTATGAGGTTTCAAGGAGAGGCCAAGACTGAGAATAGAAAATGAAATAATATACATTGATATAAATAAGTTTTTTAAAATATAAAGCAGCCGTAACCGGTTTGGCTCAGTGGATAGAGCGTCAGACTGCGGACTGAAAGGTCCCAGGTTCGATCCCAGTCAAGGGCATGTACCTTGGTTGCGGGCATATCCCCAGTAGGGGGTGTGCAGGAGGCAGCTAATCGATGTTTCTCTCTCTCCTCCATGTTTCTAACTCTCTATCCCTCTCCCTTCCTCTCTGTAAAAAATCAATAAAATATATTTAAATAAATATATATATATATAAAATCTTTCAAAAAAAATAAAATATAAAGCAACTGAGAGAATTATGAACAAAGCAAGAATTGAACCCAAAGCAGAGTGTAGACTCATGCCAAGATTTAAAAAAATATATATTTTATTGATTTCAGAGGGAGAGGGAAAAAGATAGAAACATCAATGATGAGAGAGAATAATTGATGGGCTGTCTCCTGCACATCCCCCACTGGGGACCAAGCCTGCAACCCTGGCATATGCCCTTACTGGGAGTCGAACCCTGACCTCCTGGTTCATAAGTCGACGCTCAACTACTGAGTCATGCTGGCTGGGCTCAAGGTGGAATACAGCAGGAGCCATTAAGGTAGCTAGAAAACTTGAGTGCATCAGGGGGTACACTGAGTAGTAAAAATTGTTGACTCTCTGCCAAAAGGGTGGAAGATGTTTGCTTCCAACTTGGTAAGTGTGGGACAGAAAGGATATGAGTATCTTTAAAAAATACAGGGTAGATCATGACATGCCATAAAAAGGCATTAATACACCATATAATCTTTCAAAAGAGAGGTGGCTTATTATCACAGTCCTCTAAACTAAACACTTAGTGGGAACAGGATGAAAGGACATGGCATCTAATGGCAACAATTCCAATCCAAGGCCTGATGAAAAATGTTGATTATTACATCTACAATTTGAATTCAAAACTATTTCAAATGATATTGATTATGGAAAATTACAAGGGAAAAAACCTGGATTCAAATCTGTATCTGACACCTCTTAGCTATGCAACCTTGGATGCTTTCACTTTCTAATTTTCTCTGAGATTCAGTTTTCTATTTGATGAATATTTATAATAGACACGTCTTTCCTGCCTGCTTCACAGGGTCAAAGTTAAAGAAATCTATTAACTGTAAAATCCTATAAAGATAATTTTCTTAAGCTAGACTAGTCACACTTTCCACCACCAATGTGCTTCATCATCTTGATGCCAAATACCAATTTTTAGGTACTCAATTCTTAAAAGAGAAAACCACCTAAACTGAAATTTATAATTTCTTTAAGGACAAAATACTGACTTTAAAGTAGAGATAACCCATTAAAGTCCCTGTCCAATTCCTACGAGGTTTCAAAATTGTATCTCACCAATTTAAAAGTCACATGAAGTGGCCATTCGCCTGGGTACTTGTCTGAGACTCTTAAGGTAACCTATGATAATGGGGTCTAAAGATGACCTTATAACCAGTGACCAGGAAATTGAGAAAATATCCAATAAAAATATTTCTTTACATGCTACATTTTCTAACTATATGTTACAAAAACATAAGGTCTTTTTACACTTTCCAAAGTTCTTTATTACTTTTATTCCATCTGATCATCTAGTAGTTGTCAGGTAGGTAAGGCAGATTTATGCTTGTCTTAGGAGGAAAAAACTTATATATGTTCAAAATCGTTTCGAGGCATAACTTAAATTATATTTCCGGTGCCCAACTTTTCTATTTGGTGTTAGTATTAACACCAAAATCATGTTAAATAAATTTTACTACATCATGTTAGTATTAACACCAAAATCATGTTAAATAAATTTTACTACATCATGTTAAATAAATTTTACATTTTAAATTATTCAACAGCACCAGTGATTCTACTTCTAAATAGTAACACATTCAAGTCTGAAATATTCCTAATAAAAACTGTATAACAGCCCCATTCTAAGTCTTATCAGAAAGAATAATTTACTAACCAAATTAAATCTCCCACACAGAAAAGTAGATTAAGCAATTTAAAATGATTAATATCTTAAAACACAGGTTTTGAAGAATCATCTTAAAAATGTGAATGTTGTCTAAGCTTTAAAAATACAGATGAGATTAAGTTTAAAAGTAACGTAAAGGAATACCTTATGAATAAGACTAATATTTAATTGACGTGGTTTAACTACTGAATTGGGGATATGGATTCTAGCTCATTTCATTTTAGCCTCTCTGAGCCTCAGTTAACATTAAAACAAAAAATCATAATAGGAAGTTTTACTCTATATAATCAAGTCCTGGAAAATCATGAATACTATGAGAAAGTTAATTATTAGGCAAAAATCAAGACTTCTGAACCAAACCAAAATTAGATCAAAACATTTATTTTTTGTGTTACAAAAGCAAAAATAAAGCCAAGCAAGTAATGAAATAAACATTTTTTAAGTTTATTCATCCTGGATTCTGTGACCTAGAATTTAGTAAATAGTTCAACTTTAGGTTGCTTCAATACTTCTTCTGGATATTATGAGGTCTCCATCTTATAACCATGTTTCTCTAGTTCAGCTCTAAAATAAAACACAAAAATATAATATCACTAGACATTCTTTATGATGGATTAAAGAAACAGGTGGTTTTAAGAAATAATACAATAAATTAAAAATGAGCTAAATTTAGGCACCAATTAAAAATACTACCAAATTCCTTTAGTCCCTAGAAATAAATCTATACAAGAAACTGGATGTGAATCAACACAATGCTAGTAAAATTTTAATTTCCCACTAGTATTTCATATTCCTTAATTTTCTGATAATCTATTTATGGAAGAAATATAAGAAATTTACTGCTATCTTCCAAATACCATAAAATGTCCGGTTAATAATAATAAATATTTAAACAAATTTTAAGAATCATTAACCATACAGTTAAGAACACAAGACACTGATATCAATCTTAGGGATTTCATAATCATCACAATAGGTATTACTGTTATTTACACATAAGAGATGAACAGATTGCTTTCCATATTTACATATATCTATTGAGCTAAGCAGACAGAAATTATAAATCAAATTTAAGGGTAAGCATTATTCTGCGTTAGCTATACGTAAGCAAAATAAATATAATAAATAAGTTATAAACTATTAAATGAGACTTTCCTAATTTTAAATATGAATAAAAAATCTCAAAAATTATATTGGAAAAAATGCAGTTTAAAAAGACACTTTTTATAATTTTAAATAATTTATTCAACCTGAAGTTTCAGAAAATGTCAACTGCAATAGCTGATTAGCCTTATATAAAACATTTGCACAATAAAGTTTAGTTCTGTAATGAATTTCAGCTATTTAAACTGCCATTCCAAATATCACCAGCAACTTACCTGCCACAATTCTGATTTTATAATAGTTCACCACAAAATTATTTGAGGGCCAATCCATGATAAAACATAATACAAATGTAAAGTATGACTAATGTGCCCTACATCATTACATCCAATAAGACAAAGACTTTTGTCCTCAAGTGTAATTTAGCTTAGCCACTATCATACTATCCAATGTAAACACAATGTAAAAAGCACATGGTGGGAATGATGTATAGTATTTATTACTCATTTCCTCACACTCCTTCAATTTCCTAAAAATTTTAGTTACTTATAATATAAACACTAACCAGAGATTATTCATATGAATCATCTTTCTTCTGCTCAGGAGTAGAGGTCAGTATGGACTAGTAGTAAAATGCTAGAGTAGGGGTATAAAGATCAGCACAAGTTTCTGACTCTACCCCTTCCTTTGCTAAATTTAATTAAAATGTTTCTTTTGCCCTCCCACCCAGGAAGTTTAAAATTATAATGCCTATCCTTCATATGTTTCCTATTTAACATTAAATTAATTTAAAAAGTTTCTTAAATAATAGTTTTCTGATGCCTTCAACACAATTAATGTATATTATTTACTTCCTCTTATTTTAACAACAAAGGCAAAACAAAACAAAAAACCCATCTGACTTCTTGACAGGAGGTGGTAACCAATTATATTTATAAATTATTTACAAATACAAAAGAAGTAATGATATGTTTCCCTATTAGCTAAATTCGTAGAGAACATGAAAACTTCTTTGCTAAAATTTAGGATATATAAGAAATCAAAAGGAAAAGAAGTCAAGGCCATTAAGCACAAAACACAAAACAATATAAAAACACTAATATCAAGAGCCTGTTAAATGGAAAAATCCAGCAAAGAGAAGAAATGAGACACATAGTGAATACAAACTATTTGAAACAAACAAACAAACAAACAAACAAAACTAGCATTCCTTTTACAATAGAAGAAGACTAAGACTAATAGGTTTGGGAACTCCTCTTACTATCCAAAAAAACTACTGTTATATGCCAGTGGCTATATCTGACACAGTAAATGAAGAACATAGTTTTTATGTAAAATGTGATGCAGGGTCAGGAAAACCTGATAATCCTACCTACTTCTGATATACAGAGAAACAAATATATCAGAAACAGCAAAAACAGGACTTTCAGTTACTTGGAGACACAGATATCCTTTTTTCTTTCTACTTCTACTTGCTAAAGATAATTACACTAAAAGAGAAAGAGACATGGAAAGTTTGTGGTAGGTTGTTGCTGAAGACAGATCTGGAGTTAGAACTCAGAGAATATGACTGACTCTAAAGTACAAACTGCCTCTCAGAAATTAGATGGGATTAGGACCAAATAACATCAGAAGATAGAAGAACATGTGTGTTTTTTTTTTTACCATGGTTTACAATACCACACTAAAGGCCTCAATGCATTTTACAAAGACTAGGAAGAGCATATTTGCTGGAGACCTGTTAATTGAGACAAGTTTTTAAAAGCAGAAATATAAATATTATCTGAGGCTATGCTGTCCAATATAGTATTCATACGTGGCAATTTAGTAAAATTATTTCATTAAATGTAGTTCATTAGCTGCGCTAGCCACATTTCATGTGCTCACTAATCACACGAATGGGTTACAGAACACTTCCATCACTATAGTACGTTCTATTTGATAGAATTGTTGACATATGAACAACCTTGTAGGGAAAAATACTCATGACTCAAACAGGAAACAAAAAAGAAATACCTTATTCACTAATGGAGATACCAAGATTTATACACTATGGAAATCCACAAACCTAAAGGCAGAAACACAACAGAGAACATAAGACCACTGTGGAGGCGTATTATGAAAACAACAAGCCACAAAGAACATATGGATAATGCTCTATTTTCAAACCAGTAAAAAGGCAAGATGTAGTAGTGACAAGAAATCCCATTATAAATACATTTATTAAAAGTTCCCAATAAATTCGTAGCACTCAATAATGTCCTGACTTAATTTTTAAAAGAAAAGTGCTACTTTCTGGCTAATGAAAGACAAGAGAGACTTTGGAGAAATTTGACTTAAAGATGCTCTCAAGGTCATTAATCATCATAGAGATGCAAATTAAAACCACAATGAGATATCATCTCATGCCTATCAAAATGGCTATCATCAATAAATCAACAAACAACAATTACTGGCCAGGATATGGAGAAAACGGGAACCTCAGGCATGTGTTGGGAATGTAGTAGACTGGTGAAGCCACTGTGGAAAACAGAATGGAGTTTCCTCAAAAAATTAAAAATGGAACCTTTTGACCCAGTGATCCCACTTCTGGGAATATATCCAAAGAAACCCGAAACACTAATTCAAAAGAATAAATGCACCTCTATACTCATTGAAGCATTATTTACAATAGCCAAGATCTGGAAACAAGCTAAATGAATGGATAAAACAGTCAGCAGATGAATGGATAAAACAACTACGGTACATTTACACATTGGAATACTACTTGGCTGTAAAAAAAAAAAAAAAAAAAGGAAATCATTCCTTTGTGACAGTCTGGATAAATCTGGAAATTATTATGCTAAGTGAAATCAGTCTGAGAAAGACAAATACCTTATAATCTCACTTATATATAGAATCTAATCAACAAAATAATTTAACAAACAAAATCAGACTGACAACCGTCAGATGGGAGAGAGGTTGGGGAGCTGGGTGAAAAATTGTGAAGAGATTAAGCATGAATGACTATACAGACTCAGACAACAGTATGGTGATAGCCAGAAGGAAAGGTGGGTTCTAGCACTCTACGATTCTAATTTCTACTGAGTTATTCAATATTGGCAGAAAATTAACTTCAACAGAATTAAACCCACAAGGATAAAAAACAGTAAATATGCTTCTATTTAACCACTTTTGCCAAGAGCCTAGAAAGAACAAAAGCTCTAGGCACTTACCCAAAGTATTCATATTTAGAAACACAAGAAATGAAGGCAAAATGTCATACTTTTCGGAATCCAAAAACATATTTCAAAGATTTATTATCTTTTAAGAGCTCAATTATCATATGTAGATGACATATTCTGTGCTTACAATTAATACTAAGTTATATAAAAATCTGGCTTAAAGTTTACCGTAACTGATTGGAGAAGTCATCCTCTACATTGTCATCATCCCAATTATCCTCCCAGACATGTGCATCTTCATCTTCATCTAAACCAGTCCAGTCTGAAAACAGAAACAGATGCTGTCTAAATAGTTCTCATATATTATTTCCATAAATACAAGAACGTCAGAAACTTTGCCCTGAAAACTCTAACAATTCAAAACATGTAATACCATATATACTAGTATGAGAAATGGTAATCTTCCTCTTTAAATCTCAATTTATGCTGTCACATATGTTCTCTCAATTTTTGAATTTGCAGATAATCTAAAACAAAAGTTAATATACAAATTATATTTGCCATGAATATTTATTTTAATTTCAGGAGGATATTACTTTCCTGATTTCTCCTTGGGCTTTTATAAGGTCTATTTCACAATCTTTCAAAACATAGCAGTAACAACACTAAGGTAAGTTGAGTAACAGGAAGACATCAGCCTGAAATTCAAAACTGCTAAACATTAAAAAGGTAACTCATTCACAGATAATAAAAAGTAGACCAAATATTTTCTTAAATTTGATTGTAGAATTGTTTTAGAGGAGAATGTCTTTATTCTTTAAGACATGTACACTAAAATATTTAAGAGTTAAGTGTTATTTTGTCAACAATTTACTTACAAATGGTTCTCAAAATATATATTTGCTATATATCATATATGCTATACATGAGAGAAATAAAGTAAACATTATACATCTTTTTTTAAATGAGGTATAATTAACATATAACGCTTTATTAGTTTTAGGTGTACAACACAATGATTTGATATTTATGATCACAAGACTAGTTAATATTATCACTATACAGTTACATTTTTTTCTTGTGAAGACTTTTAAGATTTACTCTCTTAGCACCTTTCAAATATGCAGTACAGCATTAGTGACTAGAGTCATCATTGCTGTATATGATAGCCTCATGACTTATTTATTTTATAACTGGAAGACTATACCTTGTGACCCCTTTACCCAATTCGCCACCACCATGCCCCATTTCCCCTCTGTTTTAAACTTTTTTTCAGGGTTGAAAGTTTCCAAATTAAAATGTCAGAAAATAGTTTTTTAAAAATAGGTTTGGAAATTACCTCTGGAAGCCTTCCATATTTCCTTCTCTTCCTCCTTACCTTTAGAGATTAGATCCCTTCTTTTGTGTATATCTCTATCACAGCACTTACATACTGTACAATCATGAGTGTCTGAGCTCAAGAGTAACAACTCTATTTTATCTCTGTATTCTTAAATTCAAACAGTATCTAGCATATGTACAACAAACAGTTGTGAAACACACAACAGAACTCTAAATCAGAACTTGTAAATTTTTGTTTGAACCCCTCCCCTTCAAAATCAGTAATTATGAATTACATTCTCTCTTAAATATGTCCTAGCCATTAGCTTCATCTTAGTAGATACCTATTAGAAACATGGCTAAGAATATTTAAACCTAAAAGAAAAATAATTAAATAACAAAACATGAGTTAGGCTTTTCTTATAATGCACATTTAGATTTAAAACTATTCAGCAATGACACATACTATAAGTATTTTATTTGTTACATTATGTATCAACAAAACTTTTAAAATGTGATATGTCTTTGTTATGATTTAAGAATAGAAGTAAGTATCTCCATTTACCTGGTTCCCCAAAGCAGAATCACGGGAGGCATCTTACCTACTCTTTCTCCTTCAACTATCAAAGTCATTATCCTTTCCAACTCCCAACTATCCCCAGAGTTTAGTCTCCCCCTCACTACTCTTACTGCCACTATGTTAATTGAGAAGTAATTTTTCCCTTCATGGACTATTACTGTGGCCCTCTTTCTGTTCCCTCCTCCCCAATCTTACACAGTATATACCCATCCACCCACCACAGATGCCTAAAACAACCACTGCTATTCCTGTGGATACTATTCAACACCTTCAGGTAGGAATGGCATTTTATTAAATTTGTAATTCTAATGCCTACAGCTAGGTGTTGGGCACATAGTAGAAATTTAATAAAATGCTATAGTTCCACTTAGAAACTATACTTCTTAAGTTCCCTTCCTGAGTTGTCAATATGAAGAAAACAGAGGCTAGTGATGGTTTCAGTAAAGCCAAGAGTACATAATTAAAGATAGAAGATATCAACAATATCATGTATTATAAATGTTATGTAAAATTCTCAATTATACTTAAGACTGCTTCTGAGAAATGTGATCACTTCATTCAATGATCCCCTAAGAGAGACCATGTGGAAACTATCTTTTAAGGACACAGTGCCTAAAAAAAGATGAAAAAATTTCCCTGAGGCAATTTGTTTCAGGTTGCTAAGAAGCAACAACATACAGTCAAATGTACGGCTAACTTTAATCATTGTATAGGACAGTGGTCGGCAAACTCATTAGTCAACAGAGCCAAATATCAACAGTACAATGATTGAAATTTCTTTTGAGAGCCAAATTTTTTAAACTTAAACTATATAGGTAGGTACACTGTTATTAACTTAATTAGGGTACTCCTAAGGCTTAGGAAGAGCCACACTCAAGGGGCCAAAGAGCCGCCGTTTGCCAACCATGGCATAGGGTAGTAAATGTATATTCATTAGTAAAAATTCTCAATAAAAAATGTGAATTTTCACTTGCATATATTTTTTATATCTCCTAGTAATATTATTGTTCTCAAAGAGGGAATATTGCAATTACCTAAATTGAATTCCTATTCTCTGAAGTCCTTAACAATAGTAATATTCAATAATAATAAGTACTAATTACATCTCAAAATTAAGTTGGCTGAGCTAAATATATTCTTACATTTTCTCCTTTCTTGTAGAAGTACCTTAAAACTTGAACTGAAAAATTTTACTATGTGTGAAATTAACTATATTTTTAATGAAGAGTAGATTAAGAGTTAAAGAAAAGGAAATCATATTCAGGATTTTTCTCAGTCTAAGGAAGAGTGATCAGACAGCTACTATAAACCAATTTAATAGATATAGCTATTCCCAAAGCTAAAGATAAACTGAAAGAATAACATTTCTGCACTTTTATAGACTAGAAAAGTTTCTTAGTTAAGCCTAAGTTAATCATTAGGTATAGGGACTAAACTAAATCATTAGGTATAGGGACTGTTACTCTCATAGTGCCATTGCAATAAATAATAAACTGTGTACTATGTGCATTATAATTATATATTATAATATTATATATAAACTTTCTTTTTTTGTTCTAAAAAACAGACATCTCAATATGAAAGAGGTGAACTATTATAGGGTAAAAATAAATGGGGCAGAAATTGCAATATTAACTATACAAGAGAGGAACATTAAGAAAAGGTAATATGAGGTGTATCCTAAGATAAACCAAAGAAGCCTCATTTCAAACAATAGATATAATTCTTTGTAATACTATATCATTAAAAATCAACTAAATAATTTTAAATTTTAAAACTGAAAACACTTCAAATAATCTCAAACATATCTTTTATAGAAACTTACATTCCTATATGTTGAACTTGTAATGAAACAACTAAATCCATTATCCCTTTTACAGCAAGTGAACAACAACTAATACTATTATTCCACATTCCCTCCAGTTACTATAATCTAGAGCTCTGGAGCTACCTAATAGTATTAATGAACAATTTAGGATTTTTTGTTTCTTATTCTGTTTTATTTTAATGACATTAAGGCCTTCCATGTAAAAATGTCACATAAAACAATTTCAATAAACTGCAATGTAGCAAGGTTTTTGGCTTTAGACTTCAAGTTTTATAAAATGGTTAAGACTAAGGACTGGTTAAAATTACAGAATTTTGGAGACAGAAAAAAGCCTTAGAGATGAGTGTACATTATACCCCTCTTTGTTTGAAAACCACCACCATACAATAGAGAAAGTGAAGACTGCCTTACAAGAAAATATTTAATAACTTTTTCTACCATTATTTCATGATATCAAATCCTAGACTATAAATATATTTGGGATAAGTCTAGAAATAGAAATTGTCAAGTTAAATATTTGTTTTACTGATATTTTAAGGAGTCTTTATAAAGCTACCTAATGAAGTTTAATGTTCCACAAAATAATCTGAATTCATTAATACTGGATAATATGTTCTTGAGTAAAGGGGGTGATATAACTCAAGTCACAAATGAATTGTGTCAAGGTTGTAAGACACCAAACCTCACATCAGCCTGAACAACTTCTAACTAACCAGCTTCCTAAATTGTTTACTACACTGGTCTCTAAAAAGGAAATGGTAATGTGTCAAAAAATTCAAGTTAGAAATATAAAATAATAAGAATATTTTTTTCACATCTCTTTGCTAACCTTGTAAACCTACCCTTTCCAGAACAATAAAGACACAACCCCCCTACCCCCCCCCCGCCCCGCCCAGGAACTTTTAATCTAATTATGACTTGATTAAAAATATTAATTTCAATACTGTTATTAGTTGATACATTCACGTGTCTTCAAGCTAGCTTTAATTCTTTTAACTTTGAGAGACTAAAAAAATATTTAATTTGTGCCCAACTGCTTCGGAGTGGCAGAAACATAAGTATTTCATAACTTTTTTGTAGGAGCCCCAATCCTTAATTCTAAAAAGGCAAGAAAAAGTAAAAATTCTTAACATAATACAGAGATACTAGTTTGAACAGTCTTTTTTTTTAATTTCAAGAGTAGTATAATTTTTAGTTTATTGAGTTGAATTCTGATGATCATTTAATGCATAAGGATAAAGCATCTCTTCCCTCCTTTAACAACCACCTAATGCTACTTTAATGGCAAGAAAGGAAAAGAAAGAAGATAGAAATAAAGTGCCCCCCCCGCCCCGCCAAAAAAAGGAAAATGCCTATGAAAGAGGGGAAAACAGTATTATGAGCAAAGTTTTAGGTAGAGCACACACACACACACAAAGACTTGACAATAGTTTTATATTTCTTTGGTATAATTATACAGTATTTCATAATTAGGATACTCGAGTATACAAAAATGGAAAAGCTAGTTAAATTCATTAATCATCACATAAATCTGAATATACTTTTTAACCTTAATGTCTTATCCTAGGAGTAAGATGCACGGAAGCCCCATGCC